GGTTTGACTAGTTATCAATTTACAGACATACTTTGAAAATACATAAATTTGAAAAAGACGGTAGATATTTTTAGCACTGTGTATTAATCTTACTTCAGGAAACGGACCAAGAAGTAGTCAAATCAAGAAAAAAAGCTCTGAATTTTAGACATGGTCCGTAAGCCCGTCTAAGCAGCTGCCTACGTCACATGACATCAAGATGAGACGCATGGCAGCATGTCAGAAAGATTGTGCTAAGCAGGAATCAGAAGAATCAAATCCCGATATCGGCTGGAAGTTGGAAAATCTGTGACTGGTACGTGATATGACATTTTTACAAAATTCATGGCAGCATTTAGAGCTTTTACAACGATTCCACGGATAGTCCAACTTCGGGCCGTCTCATCTTGATGTCATGTGACGTAGAAAAGCGGGCTTACGGACTAAAACAAGTTATCATTGGAGCATAAGATACCCTGAATATTATAATTTTATTGCACGACTGCCCGCAAAAAAAGAAGTGTAATGTTTTTAGGGTACATGTATGTATGTATGTGCGTTTCTTTAAACTACTGTAACTCTTTAACCACTGAACAGATTCTATTGGGAATTGTGTCAGAAGAATCCTTACATTATCTCTATTGTCATAGGCTATGTTTTGCATAGGAAAATTGTTTTGCCACAAAAGCAGGCGTGCTTTTAAATTTATAAATTATAGTTAGTTAATATATAAAGTTATTGATTACCAAATTTTTCAAAACACTTCTCGTGTTAGGTATACAGTAAATGATTGATAAAGATACAAAGAAGAAATAATAGTGTGTTTATATTTTAACCAAGCCTAAAGCCGTGAGGTGCCAGCAGAGCAGAATAGCACCACCCCCTCTCTCCCCGTGGGGGTCGTAAGAGGCGACTGCGGGATAAACCCGACCCAAACAGCCAAGGCCAACCGTATGGTGGCGGTTAATTCGCCACAAAAGCATTCCCAAGGAGGGTTGACGTCGGGTAGGCGGCCGGTCGTAAGATTTTGTGTCCAACAAAACGTGTTGCGCCGACCCCAAATAATTGGGAAAGGGCAGGATGATGATATTCTAACCAAGCATTAACAAATTCTTACCATTTATACATACTGAAAGTTAATCACAAGTGCTTCGATTACATTTCGCGAATGTTTTTTATTGGATGAGCAAAAGTCCAGTTTGTCAATTTCCATCTCAAAAAACAATCTTTTGTAAAATGTATAGGCGTCATTTCTTTTCACACATGATAAGCAGCAAACCTTTTTATTCACTGCTAAATTTTAACACGTACTGCGTATTTTTTTTGCCGTTTTTATGTACCAATGTTTTTTAACTATTTTTTTCGCTTCTTCAACGTTACGCGATGCTGACATTACGCAAAATGAGCATTTTGAGAAATGGGTATTATGCGCTGTGGGCGTTATTTGACGTAGATTTGGTTGTATATTTGCAAACTGGACTTTTGTTCAAAGTATACCGGGAGTAACAGAAAGGGTATAACAAGCCGAAAGGAGGTCAAGGTACTCATGAAACTGAACAACTTTCCCCATGGAACAGGGGTCGAAATATGAAAAATAAATTTGGACCTCCCATAGTGAATCAATCAGCTGTTCGGAGATTTTGTATGGGAGGTCCAAATTTTTGTTTCATATTTCGACCCATGTTCCATTGGAAAAGTTGTTCAGTTTCATGAGTACATTGACCTCCTTTCGGCTTGTTATACCCTTTCTGTTACTCCCTGTATAAACACATAGGGTTGCCAGATGTCCGGATTTTTTGCCCAAATGTTAGGAGAAAAAAAACTTTGTCGTACACTTTTCTTATAAAAAAAAAATAGAAAAAAGCCACGGTGTCGGATTCTTTACCTAAAATGACCCAAATGTTAAGCCAAACTCGCAGGTCTGTCCGGATTTTGCGTATGAGGACCTGGCAACCTTATAAACACATATCTACACAGTAGAATCCTATAACTACCGTCTCACCTAAGCTTTCTCTTCACAATGCGGTAGCTTGGAAAAAACATCATAAAAGTTACATAATATGTCAGATGAATCATAAAAGCTATGTAAGTAATAACTTATAATGTAGCTAATAAATAACAATTAAGTACAAATATTTTAAGGGAGTGTACGACTCACTAAACTGAACTTCTTTTATTAGAAACTTTTCTTAGAAATATGAAGAAAAAATTGTACCTTCCATACATACATACGTGTTGAAAAAGTCCCGCAGGACCAGTTGTACAATTGGACAGTACCATTGATGGTACAACTGGGACAAAATTATCCCACCTGTACCATGGAAAATTTTACAATAAATCACACCCGTCTTTACTCGCATTTCGGAATTTCGGTTATTTTTTTAAATATGTCTTAACGAGAACTTAATTTCAGATGACAAGTTCCAATTTGAAATCTTCGAAACTTTGCATGGTTTCTTATAGGAAGTTGTCGGTTTTGACGAGACCTATATTTTTGATGACAGCTGTCAAACTAAAAACTCGTTTCAGCAATTATGCACCGTAGACTATCAGTTTGTTTGGGAATGTTGTAGGCCTTGATAAAACCTACATTTTAGGTGACAGCTGTCAAATTTAAAACTTGTTTTTCTCGGCAATTATGCACTGCAGACTATCAGTTTGTTTGGAAATGTTGTAGGCCTTGATGAGACCTACATTTAAGCTGACAGCTGTCAAATTAAAAACTTGTTTTTCTCGGTAATTATGCATGTTAGACTATTAGTTTGTTTGGGAAAGTTGTAGGCCTTGATGAGACCCACATTTAAAGTGACAGATGTCAAACTAAAAACTTGTTTTTCTCGGCAATTATGCATGCTAGATTATCAATTTATTTGAAAAAAGATGACAGCTTTCAAACTAAAAAATTATAGGTCTTGAAGTAATCTTTGACATGACAGCTGTCAAATAAAATAAGTCTATCTCGGAAACTATAAATCTTAGACAAACTAATTCTATATTTTCACGGCATCCTTTGTCGATGCTTAACACACTCCGAAGCTATGGCACGCAATTAAAATAACACCCTGTATGGTTGTTGGTCTAATGGTACAATTGGGACAAAATTTGTCTCAGTTGTACCATTGATGGTACAGGTGGGATAATTTTGTCCCAGTTGTACCATCAATGGTACTGTCCAATGGTACAACTGGTCCTGCGGGGAAAAAGTTCGTCACTTAGTGTGGGAGGTTATTTTCTTTTTTCATATTCCGATGAAAAGTTTGTAATAACAATCTTTCAGTTTTGCGAATAGAACACGCCATTCAAATATTTCTATTTAATTAAAAGTAACCTTATACAGTGTGTTAATTTAAATGCGTGCCATAGCTTCAAGGTAGGTTTAGTATCGATAAAGGATGCCGTGAAAAATATTAAAAAAAAATCCAGTCACAAATACTTTTTTTTACTTGGCTGTCATTTGATTCAAATGCCTATATCCCATTAAATCTCCAAGTTGTTTAGACGAATGTACTCGTATGGGCACTCTCTAAACAACAACAGAGACAAAAATTTAATTTCCTAAAAAAATGATTTGAAAAATTGGAAAGATTAAATCATTTGACTGGGATTTTTTTCAACATTTCTTACGGCATCCTTAATCGATACTTACCTACCCTGAAGCTATGGCACGCATTTAAATTAACACCCTGTATAAATTATTTATCATGTAGGAGGAAAATTTAAAATGATGCTGCTGAATGACAAGTACCTACAAAAGTGTGGCTCTCAAGTCCACTGACTGTTGATAGTGATCAGATCTTTCACACCATTTTTTGGTCAAACATTTCTTCCTTTTTTTGACATAATTTTCTTCGAAAGTGACAACAACAAATCCGGATTAACTTAGAATAGCAAACCCCTATTTCATTCACGCGGGTGTCTTAAGAGGCGACTAAGAGATGTGAAGGTTTCAAATGTTTTTTAATTTTAGGCGACTGACTGAAAACCTGTAACTTTTAAGGTCAAATAAAGACCGAGCGTGGCGGCGTCGCAGTGTGCCGTCAACGTGACAGCATCGTTCATAGTAGCCGCGCCGCGTTGTCTTTCTGGTATCTCATACAAGCCTATACCGAGAGAAACAAAAAGGATATTACAAACCGAAAGGAGGTGAAGGTACTCATGAAACTGAACAAGTTTCCCTATGGAACATAGGTCGAAATAAAAAAAAAATTGGACCTGCCATTCAAAATTGCCTATCAGCTGATTGATTTACTATGAAAGATCCAAATTCTTTTTCGTATTTCATGCCATGTCCCATGGGGAAAGTTGTTCAGTTTCATGAGTACCTTGACCTCTTTTCGGCTTGTTATACCTTTTCTGTTACTCCCGGTATAAACCAGTCATTTGCCGGCGCACAGCGACGCCGCCGCGCTTAGTCTTTAAGGACACCTTACGGCCGCTCACAATCTGCCTCCCCCGCAGTAAATGTGCGTGTGATTTATTTACCTGGCGTGCGGTCTCCTGGCCGCCGGATGCGGGAACTGTATCGCCATCTGTCGTCGTAAATCCGCGATCTTCTTAGCCAGTTCGGTCACATCTTGTCCCTCCTAGAATATGAAGAACGAATTGAAAATAAGAAATAGAAAAAATGTCATACATCGACCGGGAATCGAACCCGGGCCGCATGGGTAAACGCCCCACCGCTCTGCCACTGAGCTATCGATGCACCGTCGATGAATGGCAAATTTTCTATCTCTTGATGCTCGTCTTGAAGCGACGATTACCATGTAGTAAGTTCTAAATACTTTTTTTTTTTTGGAAAACTTCCAAAATTTTCACCGCAGGCAGGATTTGAACCTGCGACCTTCGGCATCAGTACTGCCGACGCCCTAACCAACTGGGCTACCGCGGTTCTAATCGAGCCCGCGAAATTATGGAAGTATATCTTGTCCACTATCGTGTGGATTCTAAATACTATAGATGTCGCTGGATCGTCGCTTCAAGACGAGCATCAAGAGATAGAAAATTTGCCATTCATCGACGGTGTATCGATAGTTCAGTGGCAGAGCGGTGGGGCGTTTACCCATGCGGCCCGGGTTCGATTCCCGGTCGATGTATGACATTTTTTCTATTTCTTATTTTCACTTGTGAGAATAATATAGCACTGTGAGTGCATTAAAATCCCAATAGAAGAACGAATTGATTATCCAACAGACAAATTCTAGTATCTATATATCTATCTTGTCAGCCTATAGTGTCTTGTGATGCCGGTTTAGATTAGTATCACCCCATCTTTTCTGTGGGTGTCGTAAGAAGCGACAAAGGGATTTAAGAGTTGATAAAATAACCTTGGGAGTTTTTTTTTAATAACATTAAATTTACCTAGGCACTTGTATTTTTCCCTAGGCTTTTTATACTGAGGGTTTGGATTGAGTTTTTTATTTTATTTTAAGGTGTGGGGCCTTTTGATTTAAAACTATTATGTTATATTTGATTTAAAACTATAATTAATAATAGATAGATAAATGAGAAAATTGAAAAATTCATTTGCGTCCGCCTGTACTTGAACCCGGGACTGTGGATTGTACATGTCACTTAATCGTCGATTCGAGACGAGCATCAAGAGGTTGAGAAATTCACCAGCGTCCGCTAGGCGTCCGTAGCTCAGTTGGCAGAGCGGTGGAACGGTGATCCACAGTCCCAGGTTCAAGTCCCGGCGGTCGCTAGTGAATTTTTCAATTTTCTCATTTTTCCATTTATGAGAACAATATAGCGCTGTGGGCATTAAAAATTCTAATTCAATAGATAGATAGACACCACACCGACTTTAACCTCTTGAATACCACTGGCTGGATATCGGGTCAGCGAGGAAAATGCCTCTTTGTACCACTGACTCGACATCGGGTCGCTCAGTCCCTATACGTTTCAAACTGCTTGGGAAATAGCGGTTTTTGACATTTCTAAGTACTGGGATGGGGAAGGTTATAAAATACTTTTTCTCAAACATGCTAGGAAATATGACAATTTCTTTCAAAAAAACAATCCAGAAAGTTTGACATTGTTTGTGATTTTGTAATTTCTGAACGATTTCTTTTTTACACAACTGCAATGGATTCCAATACAACTTTTCTGGCGCGATATCGAAATCGTTCAGAAATTACAAAATAAAAAAAGAATAACTCCAAATCCACATCTTGACTTAGTAATCAGTAAAACAACTTTTTATATCAAATTACTATAAAATAAATTAAAATCTTTATAATTTCCTAGCATTTTTTAGAGAAAAGCACTACGTAAGCCTCGGGGAAATCGCTACTTGACTGTAAATAAAATATAAAAGTTGTATGCTTAAAACTATTGTCCAAAAATATTACAAGCTTCATTCATCATTGTTTTAAATATTAAAAGTTAAAATTATGAAACACGAAAATAATATAAAAGTTATTGTTTCGACTCCATCTAAAATATTGAAATATGACGTCATATTTCAATAATTTCATACAAAATATCGTTTTCGGTCGTCTTAAAAAGTAGCTCATTTGACCTGTCAGTCAAGTAGCGGATTAAAGTCCTTGCCTGCGGCTCAGACTTCAAACTCTACTCGTCAATCAAAGTCTTATTTTCCTACCTCGTCAACAACCTACTGTTCACTGACCTGCTGTTTAGTGAACATGTCAAGTTCTGCGTCCAGGATCTCCTTCTGCGCCTCCTCGCGTGTTTTAGGCTTCTTCTGCAAACAGACAAACACAAGAGTCAATATTATATTGTGAGTCATTTCAAATTCAATGCAACTATATTAAGCGTGTTCCGATGCTTTTTTTTTTCTGTTTCAGCTATTTGCAATCGGTTTCTACCATGAGCAAATCAGATAATGGAGTAGATGGCGTTTCGAATGAGAAGCCCAGCGGCTCTTAAAACTGATAAACTTAATATAAGGAACATAGGCCAGAATAAAACAATAAGATCTCCCGTTATAGTGACAATTTTTTTTAAGAAATGTATGGGTGTTCTATATGCTTTTTATTCATATTTTAATTTATGTTCTCTGGGGAGAGTTGCTCAGTTTCAAGACTAGAACTCACCCTATGGCCAGAATTTAAAATGGCCTTGTCAGTTATTTATATTTATTTTTGTCTTTTTGTGAAACTAAGTCTTGTTAATATTTTTTGTGGAAATAATACTGATTGGTTCTTGTAAGAGAAGTATTTTTTTTTCATATTTCGTCTAAATAGGAAAGTTTTTTGTTAAGTTCCACGAATTTAACACGCCCAAAACTTTTGCACAGAATTTGAAATGACATAGTACAACATGTTACAGAAAACCAAATAAAGCCGAATGGAGGTCAAACTAATCATGAAAGTGAACAACTTTCCCTATGGAATAAGGGTCGGGATATAATATGAAAAAAAAACTTTGGACCGTCCTCCCATACAAAATAGCCGATTTGAGTTACTAAGGGAGGACCAATTTTGTTTTTTACATTTTGTTCCTTGTTTCCTGGGGAAAGTTGTTAAGTTTCAAAAGTACCTTGAACTCCTTTCGGCTTCATTTGTTGTTTTGTAACACCCAGTATAGTTTCACTAGAATGTATGTTAGCGGACCAATGAATGAGTTTCATGAGTACATACAAAATGTGACACCTAAAATGTTACTTTTGTGTCGCGGCTGCACTTGCGTAGTTAAATCTCATGACATTGTAACGTAGAATTATTAGTAATTTTATTTTTTTTATCTTCCGTACCTCTGTAAGTGATAGGGAAAAAATACCATGTTCTCATAGAATTAAACTACTAATCTATCTACAAATACTATTTACAGCTACTATTATGTACAACTATAGCTACACAACTCTGCTATACGATTCAAATTTTTGTTGTCGAAGTATGAAAATTTGCTTTGGACCTCCCAGCTTAGTAAAGTTTCGCCGAGAGGTTTATTTTCCATATTCAGCAAAGTAAGCACTTGAGCTGAATATATCAACTAGCGGCCCGTGGCGCAACCACGGCTGCAACTCATATTCCAGCGGGGAAAAGACGTTTTCCAGGCATATGTTATACATATACAGGGTTACATTTAAATAAGTACAAATCTCTTAAGGGTTTGGTCTACTCACGGAACTGAACAACTTTTGTTAGAAACGTTTCTTCGAAATACCTATGAAAAAGAAATTTGGACCTTCCATACAAAAATGTTGAAAAAGTGTGTCACTTAGTATGGGAGGTCCAATATCTTTTTTCATATTTCGAAGAAAAGTGTCTAACAAAAGTTTTTCAGTTTTGTGAGTAGACCACACCCTTAAAAGATTTGTACTTAATTAAATGTAACCCTATATAAACCTTCCACTTAAATATCTCTTTCTATTAAAGAAATCCGCGTCAAAATAAGTTTCGTACTTTTGGAGGAGTTAGCAAATTCACGACAGACATATCCAGATGCTGAGACGCAAAAAGCTACCTAATTTTATACTATGTTAATACATAGTACGAAATAAAGTTCTAGTTTTAGTTGCTTCATTATTTACAAAATAATATGTAAATGAATCACCATGAATGAAAGATATGTACAAATATTACGAATCTATGATACCTACTTTTATTTACATGTTCCAATCACCTACAGAATTAATGATTATGGACAACGAAACGACAAACTAATACAAAATGCCATGTGTGTGTGCGCATGCTCAAAAATAAAACAAAATCAAATAAACGAAAACATACTTCGTGAAATGAAAAGTAATATATCAAAAGAAATAGAACAGAAATGTTAAAAACTAAAAAGGATAGAAGTAAAACAAAATTCAAATCATGCAAAAAGCATGTTATGCATAATTATACGTTAAAAACTCTAAAAACTACCCAATTATAGGTAATGGGGAAAGTTGTTAAGAAATGACATAATGCGGCAAAACAATACATTCCCGCAAAAAGTTTATGATAAAGATAAAATCCAATATGTCAAACACGTAGTTCCCACATGTTATAAAATGACGTGACGTTGTGCGATATTGCCACGAAGCGATGTAGACATTTTGCGTGTTTAAGTTCAGAGTTTTATTCTCCCAGTTCATTTTGGAGCTTAATGACCCTGATGAAATTGCCCCAATTCCATTATATCTAAAGTTGTAAAATGACATTTTTGTTTTGTATCACATTCGTTTTCGATTCATGCTCGACAAAATTCTTTCTTTACGCACAAAATAGAGAGTTTACAGAAAGATCACTCGATTCTAGTTTTCGCGATTGTCACTTGTTACATAGCCGGGATTGCTAGATTCAACACGAGGACAAAATACAGCTCTAAATCTGATATAAAAACATAATATGGTTCCGAGCCGATTTGAATTCAAGAAATATGAAGTTCGCGGCAACCATCTTCTAGAATAACTTGAGTTGAGTTTCTCTGAGATTCCAGTTCATTTCAATAAACGTCAGGAAGCGTACTGAGAGGACTGAGTGAGCCACCAAAAGCCAAAATCATCGCTAGTACTGAATGAACCACCTGTAAAGGCGCTCGCGCGCCGTCTCCCTAATTTGAGCTGCGTGCATTTGTATGACATTTCGCGATGACGTTATGCGCATATGGCATTTTGCGATTAATTATGGAATTTTGAAATTATTGTAACGAGTCATGCGCACACGCACACGTGCGGTACCTGCAGCTGCAGCCGCGACAAACGCGCCAGAGTCTCGTCCTGGACAACCAATCAACCAACAAGCATTTAGAGGGAGTCCAAATTACGTCAGATATCATATGGGATCAATCGTCTTTCAAATGGGGCTTGTGCAAATAAAATAATAGATAAAATCATGTCGTGTGGTGCTGGCTTAGAATGCATCAGCCCATATCTTAAGAACAAACTAAGGGATTTGAGAGTTGATCTATATTGCAATTCTACGCAACAGGCTGACAATCTGTTACTACTGTGATAGGTACACAGTCTTCTAATTGACTCTCAAACTCTTGCCAGACGTGGCCGCCTTTTGCAGCCGTTTACGTTTTGCCTACCCCGCAAGGGATATAGGCGTGATATTTGTATCATCAGAAAGCCAAAAACCAGGACTGGTTCGCTGAAAATCTCGAACACATTACACCTCTGCTCGAGTCCAAACGACAA